ATAGCTTCAGACAAGAGGAAAAAGAAGAGGGGAGTGGCAATAATAGCTACAGAAAACCTATTCCCTGAAAAAGTTCATGCTTCAGATGATGGGAGAATTTTGATGGTGGAATTCCAAAATCAAGAGAAAAAGATTTTGGTAGTAAATATTTATGCACAAAATCAAGACCAAAAGAAATTTTATAAGGAACTCTATGAACTTATTGTTGGACAGGACTGTCAAAATATTTGTTTATTGGGAGATTTTAATACAATTTTTGATGAGGAAAAGGATAAACAGACAGGCGGGAAGAAGAAGAAAAGAAGGACAGAAATGCCAAAAAACTTAGAACAATTACTGACTGAATTAAATTTGGTAGATGCTTGGAGAATAAGGAATTACTCTACGAAACAATTTACATATTACTCGGCTAGACATGATTCATGGTCCCGAATAGACATGATATGGATTTCAACAGTAATGGTTAAGGATCTGTTAGAGGCAGAAATACAGGCAGGAACAAATGCGGTTGGGAAGCGAAGCAGATGGACCATGAACTTAAGAATTTTGAGAAATAATAACTTTGTAAATAAAATGAAGGAAGAGCTAACAGCTTTTTTCAAAGAAAATAGAAAACAAGATACATCATTAAAGGTGATATGGGATGCAATGAAAGCATTTTCTAGAGGATTATTAATTCAAGAAGCAGCAAAAGTAAATAGGCAAAGGCAGAACATTGTTATGGTTAAGTGAATCCCTGGGCAGGCGTTCGTCTTCCACGCATCAACTCTGCTTGTGGTAGTAGTCAGTAAAAGAGTATTCCTTAAGAAAAAAGCAAAAACAAGCCTGCAGCCCTTTCTTGTGCACTTGGAGACAAGAGCCCTTTACAGATAACTGATTTTCACTACAAAATTTATTGTTGGTATAGAACATGGGTGGCCAAACTGTGGCTTGGGAGCCACATGCGGCTCTTTCACACATATCGTGCGGCTCCCAGCAGGGCAGCTGGGGAAGCGAAGTGGAGGCGTGCCTCCCCGATTGGTCTTCCCTTCCCCAGCCAGTGGTCCCCTTCCTGGGTAGGCTTGAGGTGGGGGGGGGGGACAGAGAAAGAAAGCAACTTTAGCTTTAAAAGTGTTCTCAGATGCCCCCCCACAGATATCATTGGACAAATAAATATCATTATCAATATCTATTTTTACCCCTTTTGTCTTTATTTTTGGCAGTCTCATTTAATATTAATAAAAAGCAAATTTGCATATTTCCCAGTAAAAACATGTCTGTGATATTTGTTCATGTAATGCGGCACTCAACCATCTGACATTTATTCTATGTGGCTCTTACGTTAACCAAGTTTTGGCCACCCCCAGTACAGAATCTAGAATGGTATATCCATTTGAACCCTGACCTGGAGGGTAGGTCGTTCTCATCAGAACTCAGAAGCTAAGCAGGGTCAGCCCTGGCTAGTATGTGGGTGGGAGACCTCCAAGGACACGGTGGCAGGAAAAGGCAAAACCACCTCTGAACATCTCTTGCCCCGAAAACCCTACGGGTTTGCCATAAGTCAGCTGTGAACTGGTGGCACTTTCCACCATCTCTATTTAAAAGTGGTGTCTCTGTTTAAAGATAGAATTGTGGTTTTGCAATATACGTATTCATCTTAGATGTGAAACAGGTTGGCTCGGACTGCTGTAGGCAGCCTAAGGCCATATCCATGTCTCGCAGTTCAACACCCCCCTAAGGCATGTTTCAGTCCCATTTAGACCAATGGAGCTTTTCTGTAACAGTATACTTGATGGCCTTGAAACAGGCTCGTAGCCAGAAAATTTGGGGAGAGCGGGTAGCTCAATTGGATAAAGGTAAAGGTTCTGAAAAAATTGTATGATTCTATTAACATTATTTTATTTTACTAATTTTATTAATTTTCTTTGTTAATGTTTTTATACTATTCCAATATCAGAATTGTACTGTTTTACTGGCTCTTGCTGTAATAAATTAGCTCGAATAGATCAATCGAAGCCTGTTCCACTGAAGACCCACTCTGTCAGGAAATTATTCCTATGTTTAGCCAAAAACTGTTCTGATTTATTTTCAACCCACTAGTTCTGGTCTGACCTTATGGGGCAACAGAAAACAACTCCACCCCATCCTCTATATGACAGCCCTTCAAGTACTTGAAGATGGTTATCATATCACCTCTCAGTTGTCTCCTCTCCAGGCTAAACATACCTGGCTCCTTCAACCTTTCCTCATAGGACTTGGTCTCCAGACCCCTCACTGTCTTCGTTGACCTCGTCTGGACACATTCCAGCTTGTCTGTATCCTTCTTAAATTTTGGTGCCCAAAACTGAACACAATACTCTAGGTGAAGCGATACATGCTTGAAAAATTGTTATGTATTTCTAATATAGACTCAGGATTATTTTACATATAAATCTTCATGCTACACATTCTGGATGGTTAAAGCCATGTTCTAAAAATCATTTCACTCAATCAAAAGAGAAAATATTTCATAGGAGCCCTCTTTCAGCGCTCCACAATATTTCCAGTTTTTCTGTATTTTTTTAAAAAACGTAAAAATCCTAAGGGAAATAAGCATTTTTTTTTTTGCATTGTCATGTCTTCACGATGGGGAAGATCATGGATCAGTTCCCAATTTCAGTAGCAGTTGAAAGGGTGTCCCAGTTACTCAAGTGAGTGGGTGAGTCCCAATTACTCAAGTGAGTGGCTATTACTACCCAGTGCTTTGGTTCCTGGATTATAAACAGGTATCATCCCCTTTTCAGCAGCATTCCCCCATTGTGGTTCCTGAACTCACTAGCAGTGTACCTTTGATCTGAGATTATTTTTTTATCCCCAAATCTGATGGCCGTTTTCAGTGAACAGGTAGCAGAATTCGGATAGCGAAATCCCCTGAAAGAAGGTTTTCTTGTCTGTACAACTGCACCCATAAAGGGGAGAAAGCATGAAAGTGGTGGGGGAGGGGGCGCCACCGGTTGAATCTTCGTTAAGACAGAAATACCTCCCCTGTTCCTCGCCCTTTCCCAGCGCCCCGCTGTTTATTTGAGGGGAAAACTCTATGTTTTCCCCTCAAATGGCTGTGGCCCCACCCCCAGCGTGCCCGGTGTCTGTACGTCACACCCGGGCGGTGCGCACGCGGGGGTGGGGTTTTCCCCGGGCCCGATTCTGCGGGGGCGGAAATCAGGCCTCAAAAGCGGGGGGAAATCCACCCCCCGGGGGGATTTGGAACCCTATCCACCAGACTTTTGGCTGAGGTGGCAGATGTTCAGTCATTCCTGCCTCCCCTGTTCATGGCCGTTCCCAGTGCCCTGCTGCTTAGATAACATTACTTGGGCACTGGAGCTTTTATTCACCTGACATGAGGCAAGGGTCCTTTCTGTCACTGTTTATTCTGCCATCTGTTGTTTTATTGTTTTATGAATCTTGTGTTGTAAGCCGCCCTGAGCCCACTCGTGGGATAGGGTGGGGCATAAATTAAGTAAATAAACAGATAAACATAATAACAACAACAACACTAAAATTGCCTTCATAAAATCATAGATCCAGAGAAGTTAGCCGTGTTAGTCTGTTGCTGCAAAACAGTAAAAAGCCCAGTAGCCCCTTTAAGCCTAACGAACTTTATTGTAGCATAAGCTTTCGAGAAACACAGCATCTGACTAAGAGAGCTGCGTTTCTCGAAAGCTGATGCTACAATAAAGTTTGCTTTAAAGGGGCCACTGGGCTTTCTACGATTGCATAACATCAGTTTTGTGCCCAACAAGATTATTTGTTTTCCAGAGGTTATTTCAAATCCCCCCCCCCCCATAGATCAGTTTTGCTACTTGAAGAGATGTCGCCATGGCCAACCTGTTCATTTTCTTCCTGTGTTCTCCCGCAGGTTCCTTTCCTGCCGAAGTCCTCGGCCAGTCTGCACCATCCGCTAAACACTGTGCCCTATGATTTGAGACCAGCAAGAGACCTGGAACTCTGAAATGAAGATGGAGGCGGCAGACAAAGTAGAAGAACTCATTGGCCCAGAGGCCCCACCGAAACTCTTGGAGAAACAAGAGGCGGCTCTGGGCGAAGAGGGACCTCTAGGACTAGAAATGCCCGCTCAGAAAGAGAGCGGCGCTGTTACGGAGGATTCCACCGCGCTGGCCTCCATGCCCTGCTTGCTGATGGAGCTGAGGCGGGATTCATCAGAATCTCAGCTGGCTTCCACCGAGAGCGACAAGCCAACGGCCGGCCGCGTCTACGAGAGCGACTCTTCCAACCACTGCATGCTGTCTCCTTCTTCCAGCGGGCACCTGGCCGACTCCGACACCCTGTCTTCCGCGGAAGAGAACGAGCCCAGCCAAGCCGAAGCCACTGTCGAGGGGGAGGCCGCGGCGGTATCGGGGTCCGCCGTCGGGAGGAAGTCCAGGCGGTCCAGGTCAGAAAGCGAGACCTCCACCATGGCCGCCAAGAAGAACCGGCAGTCGAGCGACAAGCAGAACGGCCGCGTCGCGAAGGTCAAAGGTCACCGGAGCCAAAAGCACAAAGAGCGGATCCGGCTGTTGAGGCAGAAGCGGGAGGCGGCCGCCCGCAAGAAGTACAACCTGCTGCAGGACAGCAGTACCAGCGACAGCGACCTGACCTGCGACTCGAGCACCAGTTCGTCAGACGACGACGAAGAAGTTTCAGGGAGCAGCAAGACAATCACTGCAGAGATACCAGGTAGAGGGTGTTTTTTAAACTGAACTGGTGGCAAAAGCTCCTGCCTGTCCTTTCTCGGCTGTCACACTAGATTTAGAGGAGCGGCATTTGAGAAAATAAATAAAATAAAATAAAAATAATACGCTAGGAGAACTGCGGCTCTGGGTAAATTGGGGGGGGGGAGCATTTTGAAAGGTGACTTACAGAGCCTCCCGATTGCCCTTATTTTGCACGACAGCAAATTAAAAAAAACAACAACGTCCGGTCACGGTGAGTCCCAGTCCTTGTCCTTTCCCCGTCCCCGGTTAATGTCTGTGTGGCTTTGGGCAGAAATGTTTAGATCGGCCTAGTTTGCAGCTATTTTATTACGTAACAATAAAAAACCAAACACGTTGACATGCTGCAGTCGTCCCTCCATCTGCAGCTGAAACTCCACGGGGTTTCTTTCCCCTCTTTACGGCAAAGCCCAGTTTTCTCCGATTCTTCATTTCAGAGCTGTGCTTTCCCCAGCTTTGTCTCCGCGCATGACGAGCTGGTGTTTTAACCTTGCTGTGAGCGAAGGGGCAAGGTGGTAGCTTCAGAGCCTATCCATTTCCCACGCAGGCTGCATATTACTGACCCATCAGTTTCCTCAGCGGACGAGCTCTACCTTCCTCTGTCGCGTACAGCACAGAGTTACTAATAATCAGGGTGTCCCCCCCCCATGCATCTGTACTGCTAGACTAAGATGCCAGATGTTTTGGCCGTTCTCGTGAGAAAACACCGGAAGGTGCATTTTGGAAATTCTTCAGTCTGTTAAAGGCCTGCAATCACTCCTTTAGTCGAAATAGCATGACCAGGAGTATGTATCATCTACTTGGCATATGGTACTCAAAGATAACTTGCATTTTATAGCAACCTTAAAATAAAGTACTATTTAAAAGCTTTTGGTTTGCCAATCTTTTTATGGGTGAATGTACCTAGTGTCTTGACACAGCTGAAATATGCACTTTAAGTAAAGCTATTTCTCTACTGTGCGAGAGGACGGAAAGTGCAGTGATTACTTCATGCCTTGACCTTTCCAGTGGGTGACCCCCCCCCCCCCCCCCCCGCCCCCCGCTAGGGTAACCAATCAGATTTAATGGCGTCTGCCTTTACATATGTGGTATGTTTGGGCATAGCCTGCCCAGCATTGTAGCCACCCAGCCTTCGTTTCAGTTTGGAGCTTGGCTTTATGCGGAGTATCCCACCACTGAAATGAATGGAGGTTGCTCAGCAACAGTCCCTGGTGGATTTCAGCCCCAGTAAATGTTGGCTAGGTCAGCTTCCTAAGGCCTTTGCATTTGTTTAAGTAATGCTAAAAGGTACATAGGAGCTGCGGTGGCTCAAGTGGTTAAGACGCTGAACTGCAGGCTGTGGAAGGTCAGTAGTTCAGCAGTTCGAGACCCGGGTGCCGCAAGACGGAGTGAGCTCCCGTCTCTAGTTCCAGCTCCTGCCAACCTAGCAGTTCGAAAGCAAGAAATTGCAAGTAGATCAATAGGTACCACTTCAGTGGGAAGGTAACAGCATTCCGTGCGCCTTGACGTTTAGTCATGCCGGCCACATGACCACGGAAACGTCTTCGGACAGCGCTGGCTCTTCGGCTTTGAAACGGAGATGAGCACCACAACCCTAGAGTCGGATTCGACTGGCTTTCGAGCAAGGGAACCTTTACCTTTTTAAAAGGTACATGCTAGTCTCCAATCACTGAACTTTTTTTGGTGGCCGACGGGAGGGTGCGGGCGGAGTTTTTGCTTGTTCCGTAGAATTGGATCGGAAACAAACAGATCACACGTGCAGACGTTCTGAATGATGTATTCTTTGCCGGCCTGTACCAGTTAAGACTGCAGGTGGGCTTTTGCCATCCCGTAAAAACGCAACAAGGACCGGTTTCTAGGCTAGCCCTTCCCATGACATAGAATATTTACGTGGGGTGGGACTTTACAGGCAGTCTAAAAGGACACAGCTCAGCAGCAGTGACATCATTTGGGGTCGTCTGATGTCATTGTAGCACTGTCCAATGGCAGCTCAGATGTGCACCATTGCACATGAGCCCTGTTCACACGTTACAGCGAATTCACGTACCAGCTGCGTGTATGTGCATGCCCCAAGTTTGTGAGAAAGAGCCAATGCACGTACACTTACTAATGAAGCTGGGAACTAGTAACCAACTGTCCAACTGTCTCAAGAGTAACTGTAAATCGCTCTGAGCCCGCAGGTATGTGGGAAAGAGCGATCAATAAATCGAAAGCATCATCATCATCATCATCATTATTATTATTATTAACCGGGTATATATGGCATCTCAGTTGCATGTTCAGCTCTGCATGCGTTGAATGTAAAATTAAAAATACCCAACGCTCATATTGGGGGGGGGGGATCAAGGACACACCATCCCTGTAACTTGTGAACAGGAGATACAATCCGATTACTTGTATGAACTTTAAAAACATTCCGGGTAACAATTGAAATGGACAACGGCCCGGCCAGAATAAAAATACTCCCGCTGCAGTGTTAATTCAAATAGACGTAAATTGTATTGGCTTTCCCTTTCTCAGTAGAAGCTGACTTTAGTCGTCAGTAAGTTGAGGTTTGCTGCAGGGCAGTGTTCACTCAGTATAACGGGACCATTTTAGCCCGAACCGCACACTCCAGGACGCCACCGTTTTGAAATCAGACCGAACGCAGTATCTCCTTAGGGCAGTGTGCCTGCCCCTCTGGCATCACTGTATCAAAGCCCCCTGTGATTTGCAAGTTAGAATGACTACCTTCCCTTGATCTGCCACTGCTTCGGACTGTTTGTAAGAACATAAGAACATAAGAGACGCCAATGTTGGATCAGGCCAAAGGCCCATCCAGTCCAACACTCTGTGTCACACAGTGGCCAGAAATACCAGTGCCATCAGGAGGTCCAGCAGTGGGGCCAGGACATTAGAAGCCCTCCCACTGTTGACCTTCCCCCCAAGCACCAAGAAGACAGAGCATCACTTGCCCCAGAGCCCCTAGCTATACCTTGTGGCTAATAGCCACTGATGGACCTCTGCTCCATATGCTTATCTAATTCCCTTTTGAAGCCGTCCATGCTTGTAGCACCCACCACTTCCTGTGGCAGTGAATTCCATGTGTTAATCACTCTTTGGGTGAAGAAGTACTTCCTTTTATCCGTTCTAACCCGACCGCTCTGCAGTTTCATGGAGTGCCCACGAGTTCTTGTATTGTGAGAAAGGGAGAAAAGTACCTCTTTCTTTACCTGCTCTTTCCCATGCATAATCTTATAAACCTCGATCATGTCACCCCTCAGTCGTCTTTTCTCCAAGCTAAAGAGCCCTAAGCGCTTTAACCTTTCCTCATAGGGAAAGTGTTCCAACCCTTTTATCATTCGAGTTGCCCTTTTCTGCACTTTTTCCAAAGCTATAATATCCTTTTTAAGGTGTGGTGCCCAGAACTGCACACAGTAAATCACTTAAATCACTTGTAAATCACTTAAAACGTGTTTGGTAAGCCTGTTGGGGATAGGCCAGAAGTACTTCATCCTGTCCCGTGCCTGCATGCAGGTGGATGTGCTTGCAAATGGAAATAGGGGGGGCGGATTGTGCCATATTGAGATGTTCTGCGCCTTGGGTGCCTTGGATTAAAAGTGAGTAGTGGGGAATTGAAGAAATAGTTACTTGTATGAAGATAGCCTGGGGTATCGGCGTATTTATTGTACAGTTCTGTGGGTGAGCAAAAATGTAGTTCCTCTGGTGCATTTTGCTTCCTAGCAATAGAACATAAGAACATAAGAGAAGCCAATGTTGGATCAGGCCACTGGCCAATCCAGTCCAACACTCTGTGTCACACAGTGGGCAAAGCCCAGGTGCCATCAGGAGGTCCACCAGTGGGGCCAGAACTCCAGAAGCCCTCCCACTGTGGCCCCCCCCTCCAAGCACCAAGATTGCAGAACATCCCACCCCCAGACGTGTTCCATCCATATCTGGTGGCTCATAGCCACTGATGTACCTCTGCTCCATATGTTTATCCAATCCCCTCTTGAAGCTGTCTATGCTTGTAGCTGCCACCACTTCCTGCAGCAGTGAATCACACATGTTAATTCCTCTTTTGGTGAAGAATAGCATTAAAAGCCAGCCTGTCCAAAGTTAAATTATTATTATTATTTTTTTAAAAAAAATGGTGGTTCCAGATCAGGAAACAGGAAACATCAGTGTTAAAAATGCTTCTCCCAGCCAATTTTAACCTGAGCCTTGTTTTAATGAAGACGCGATGAAAACAGAATTGTAGTATAGCTGTATTTGAATAGTGGGATCCAGTGGCGGTATTCACAGCCAGGGCTGTGTGGTGGACATAGTTGAGCCCTTCAGTTTGGAGCTCGAAAGGCGTTTTCCCTGTGTGGTGCTTTGGCAGTCATTAATGCAGAAACACAAGAATAATTGGGGGGGGGGTGAATTACTCAAGGCTGCTGTTGCTTAGGTTTTCTTGTAGTGAGGACCACGCTTGTAGTTTTCTTGCATATGCCCGTTTTCTTTGCTTACGTTGAAAGGTACCTGAGTGGGCTCTTACTGGTTTCTCATTCTGGAGTCTGGTTCTTTCCCCCTACTGCCAACTCATTATCCTAATCTCTTAAACCCGTAGAAAGAGCTTTTTGATGGGGGTTATTGTTTGCTGCTTTCAGGGTCTACCTAAAAGTGCATTTGAGCTATTAGTGGGTTCCGAGGCTGCAGTTTCAGAATGCCACTTGTAGCCCTTAAGGCTGCTGTCATGTCACATACTTTGGCTCCATGCCACAGTGGTGGTGGAAAATGCTGCCGGGTCACAGCGGACTTACGGCAACCCCGTAGGGTTTTCAAGGCAAAAGACGTTCAGAGGTGGTTTGACATTGCCAGCCTTCACGTCATGACCCTGGTATTCCTTGTTGGTCTCCCATCCAAATACTAGCCAGGGACAAACCCGCCTTAGCTTCCAAGATCCGACGAGATCAGTAAATCTCCACAAATGGAAGGCATGTC